CCACCACAGCGGCAGGGCGGCAGACCATGGCTTTTGCATCATAGGGGTCGTTTTCGAGCCCCATCAATCACTCTTCAGCCTATTCCGGACAACAGCGAAGCGCTCCCAATGGCAAACATACCGCTGACATAACAACTGTCAGAAGTCCATTTTGCAGAAAGCTGCACCCACACCTCTCAAGCTGTAGAGCAGCCGAGCCACAATGAACGCCTGTTGCCGGAAGCCCCCGGGATGGGCGATTTTCATCCTTGACTATTGGGTTTGCGGTAGATACCGGAGTCGGCACCGCGTTGCTCATGTAGCAGGCATAATTTGCGCCGTGCAAGCCGCCAAGCTAGTTTAAATACGCCACCTAATCGATATGTACGGTACTACTCCGGAGGATTGTAGATCAGCTATTATTGCCCCATTCCTTTGACGTCATGTCGATTCGTGTCCGTGTGTTTGGCGTGCGCATGTGTGGTTTTCCCCAGTGGGCAATGACGATTCTGCACTGGTTGATGGTCCCGACCATTCTGTAGTCTGCGATGTACTGCTCCAGGCCGTCCTGATCTTGCGGAGCATGGAGCTGACTCGTAGGGCAGACCCACGAATATTTCCTGAGATCTGTGCGCCAATCATCTGGCTGCACATCGTGAGGATCCACAGGTAGCCATTGGACAGCGTTGCGCATGTGATACCTGAAAGAAACGATTCATTTCGCCCATGTTATCCAATTGGTGCCACCAATCACATGGGGGTACGTACGCGCTGTCCAGTTATTGTTGATTTCAGGCAGGACAGGACGGCTTCCTTCAACTACCCGTGTCATGCTGGGAAGGCACAAAACCACGATTGATTGTAGAATGTGTGAGAACACTGAGGTCGCCCCGGTGGTCTAGTGGTATCCTCGTAATCCGCTAGTCGCAGAGGTTGTGAGTTCGACTCCGCATGGGGTGAAAAATTTACGAAATGTGCGGGTGAAAGCGAATTATTGGTGAAAAAGCTCTCGTGAGTACCAAACTTCGACGTTAGCCACGGTTGATGAGGGAAAGAGACGGCTGGACCCTTCTCGCGTTAAAAAAAAATTTCAGCACGCACCGCAGGCGGAAGGTGGGGCATGCAAAGCGATAAAAAGAAAAAAAAAGCCCTGGTGTTTACCCCCTCCTGTGTGACCCTGGATGGTTGAAGTTGTACGAAAAATACACTAAAAAGTGTAGTACTCTACATATACGCTGAAGAGTGTAGTACACGTCTCACCACGAACAATGGGGGGACTGTCGCCATGCTAAATAGGACGAAAACACACATAACACACTGAGCACGACATTCTGAGTGATATGTGTTCGAAGACGTTTATTTGCCCGAGTAAACAAAGGCGCGAATACGGAGACCGATTGCATTGCAGACCTAGACAGGAGAGCAACGTAGTTGATGGTTCACCAAACTATATATGTCAGGGAAAACCTATAAGATATATTGGGGGTACTCGTAGCATTGAATGACGGGTAAGATCTTCAGTACGTACGTACGGAAATTGCAGTGATGAGATGCGGAGGAATCAGAGAGATCCGTTTGGTAGTTTGAGCGTAATGATCGTGACGCGTGCTTGATGCCGTGACAGATTTACGTGCACGAGCACGCCTCCGAAGAACACAACACGTTTTCCTATACGTCCCTCCCCTACCACGGCCCGTCATGGCCCAGCTGCTCTACACTCCCAACACACAGAACTGAGCCACCCGGATCATCGATCACGTTAGCGTATGACACGTCGTCAACGATATTCGCGTCGAGCTTAGTTTGGAGTTCCATCGCTTTGCGGCGATCAGCAGCAGTCACCAATGAGCACCCCCGACCGAAACTGAGACCGAGAGAGCGACCGTCAAGCAGTGGACGACGACGCCCGGATCAACGAGTTGGTGAACGAGAGGGTAGCAGCGAGACTGGCCGAGATTACTAGGCAACAAGACGAGCAGCAGCAGAGGACATATCACGTCCGGAGCGGGAACGACCACGAGACACGCCACCAGCAACATGCTGGGCGACCATCGGCCGGCCCGTCCGCAGACGACATCGCCCGCACTCTCGCCGACGCCCTGACCAGCCGTCTTCAGATATCACCCGCAGACGTGTCTAGAGAACCAAGTAGCGCAGCGACTCTTAGGATGGTATGTATAGGCAAGGGGAGGATGAACAGGTAAGGTTTTTGATTTTTCGATCGAACATGATTGCTATGTTTGCGCAAGGAGTCAGGGAAGTGGTATTGAGTGACCACAGAATTCCAGTCGGGCTGGAAGGAGTAGACATGGAGGACTTGCGTAGGATGCACTCGCCTGAAACGGTAGAAAAGGCGATCACGGCGTGGAATTTGATCATCACGACAATCACCTTCATGCCTGTCTTGACCCAGATTATTGCTGATGGTAGTCCCAGTGGGGGTTAGAAACTATTTCTCGCATATTGCGAACCCCAGGCGAGAGCAGAAAAAACACGGTTGACTTCGGAATACCATGCCATAAAAATCCGAGTGGGTGAAAGTCCGCAGGAATACTTTGGCAGATTTGCTGCTTTTCGCAGTAGGTTAGCCTCACACGGCGTCACATACCCCGACGATGATGCCAATTTGCACGTTGTGTACAACTTCTCTTCCGAGTACAAGATGGAGAAAGCTATGCTGCGTGCCCTTCCGCCCCCCACTTTGACCCGTCAGCACCTTGACAAGATCGTGAAAGATGCCTATCAGGATATGGTGACCGCACGGGAGGGGGAGGCGCAGAATGGCGCGGGGCACGCTTTCGTCGCTGCCGGTGGGAACCGGGGCGATGGACGTGTCCAAAATGGGTCCAGTGGGAACGGCGGGGGTCAGGACGGCAGTGGAGGCGGTCGGAGCAGCAACAACAGGGCGGACGGAGACAAGAGCTGCGACTATCATCCGTACTCGTCGCACACCAACAGCGAGTGCTACACCCAGCGTCGCCAACGGAAGAAGCAGCAGCCCAAGCAGCAGCAGCCTCAGCAACAGCCTCAGCAACAG